CCCAACCAATGTAAAATGATCATCCAATGAACCGCGGGGTGTAAGGCTAGTGTATTCTTCGGTAATAATGGAGCCAATTCAACGTTTTTCTTATTCATGTATCTCTATGTGAAATAGGCCAGAATAGTCGGAATTTGATGTTTTTGTTCGTTTTCCCTGACTTCACTAGTCAATAGGTGTACACCAAATTACACGTCGCTCGTAAACGAAATGACGAACCCATCATGTAGAAATTGCACTTTGACTTATTGACTTACATGGTTCCATAACCCCACGAGATACACAGGGTGGCATATGTTGTTCGAGGGTCAAAGGCTAGATATCAGACGAAGTTAAGTCTCTTGATCCTCCAGGTTAAGGGTCGATCCTACTTGGCCTCTCAAATCACGTTAGACAAGTTGACCCCTGTAAACGAGCCTCTACTTCACTTCATCCACTGTCTTATCATGACCAAGGACTCCTCGCCGTAAACCCTAATCATTTGCGCTTGGTGATCGTTCTGTTTGGTGGTATCTACCCATCAAGCTAAAGTGATTACAAAAACAGGCGAATTCCATACTGCATTAATCTTCGCGCAGGATAATCAGAGGTGGGTGGTTGAAAAGATGTTGAGTACTGTCCAGATATCCCAACCTCTGCTTCACTCTTTGTTTCCTATATACAACACTTTCTCTTAGTTCCTCCTTTTGATCTATGATAGTTCGTTGGAAGTTGGTTGTTATTCGCCCCAAGTTGTTGGAAAATATCAGCGTAGGCGATGCATTATTCAATGGGACTGCAGGTTTTGACGCTTCAACTTATGAATCTGGGACCTCCACGATGAGGACTGATGCATGCTAGTCAACAAGTTCGTCTAGCGCTTGTAGGAGTTCTGCCAATTGTAATTTCTGCAGGCGTTAACCGTACATTTCAGGTAAAGGCGTACGAATTGGAGAGGGAGGAAAAAGTTAAGTCAAGACTTTGACCAAGTCTATGACAACCTTAGATGGTGACTGTTTGGATTAGCCCATTCGCTTTTTTACAGGCACTGTTGTTGATGATGGTTGTGGATTTCACTCCATGGGAGATCGTTGATTTCCTATTGTCAACAGCTGTTCTTTTCTGTCTCAATTTCACAAAACCGGATATGGCTGATCCTGCCATTGGAACTTAAGCTTGGTCCGTATTACTTGTGGGATTGGGACGGGGTGATGGAGGGTCATGGTAGGTTGAGTGACTTCACAAACTGTGTTTGACGCACAAGGGGGGATTATGTAGACGAATTCCAACCGCCTCTGCGGTGCCTAGGATGCAGTTTTGATCTGCGACCCCGAACATAGTAGAGAAGCCGAAATGTTTCATTGTGTGATCGGACTCGACGAGGTGTGTGAAACGATTGCACCTGGGATTGTTAACTAGAATGCACGCTAAAAAGGGTACCGTAGAGTTACGATATATGTTTATTCGAGAGGAAACAACGGTTTTTGGGATCTGGTTGGCGGATGAGAACAAGTTAAATCTGTGTGGGGTCGATAAGAATCTGCAATGTAAACCTTACACATCCATATTCCATGTCTCAGAGGGCAAGATGTTTGACCACCGAGACCAACACTAGATATGGTTTTTACGGTACCTATAAGCTCATAAGTTTTTTCTTTCGAAACGGAATCGTCCAGATGACGGATAAATGCTGTGTTAGCTTTGTACAATCTGGAGTTGTGGCCCCACAGAGCAATTTGATACCTTGCCAAATTCGCTTAGTATGGTTACATTTCAGAAGTTGTGAGGTGCATAACATAGAGAGCTTTGATTTCAGTTTTGATCAGGTTGGCATAATACTTTGACAGCTACTAAGTCTCTAGATTTATACGATCGTTCCTTCTGAATGCTTCCAACAATGGAAATGCTTTTCCGCCGTTCAGGCAAATAGGGTTTTTTACAAGGGCAGCATAGGTTAAACATGTGGTTGAGTGTTTTAGTGAATAAGTTGACTGTATGATGTAAAGAAAGACAGGAGGAAAATTACGAAGAAACGACGATGATGGAACACTTGAGAAGAAGAATGTTGCCAGAGGAGAGATTGTAAAGGTGAACAGCGATTTGATTGATTTTTGGAGG